CTAACGCCAAGCAACCTTTTAATGGGTCCAAAAGGAAACGGTTAGCGTTTATAAATGAAAAAAACTCGGTTGAATGGGTGGTATGCGAAGGTTTTATCTCTGGGAGGCAAAGAGGTTCTGATTAAATCCATTGCGATGGCCCTTCCAGTCTACGCAATGTCATGTTTCCGGCAATCAAAACATCAATGTCAACAGCTGACAACGGCCATTACAGAATTTTGGTGGAATGCTTGCGAGGTATAGACCGGATAGTACTTCTCCACATAAAATGAAAATAAACGAGGAGAGAGTGTCTCATTGTCTGATTGTCCTCTAAGAAAAGATGTGTTCTTAGTCGCACCGTTGATCAGGAATGTGTAAGATACCATGAATATACATTGGAAAATCTAGTTGATCCACTTAGCATGGAAACCAAACCTCTCAAGTACAATGACAATGAAGTCCCATTCGAGCCTGTCTTAGGCTGTGCTCATGTCAGGCTTGATGGCCATAGAACAGTGTTTTTTGGTTTTGATCCTTTGAGGAAGTGGAGCATTTTGTGTATGATGAGCATATTATTAGAGATTGCTCTGTTAGGGACAAAAGCGGATTGCATCTTCGAGATGATGGAGGAAAGGATCGACTGTAGTCTGCTTGTGAGGACCTTCGAAATAATTTTGTAATACACATTGGATAATACAACTGGTTTGTACTCCGACACCAGTTTGGGACTCTCGAGTTTTGAGATAAGGCGGACATGAGTGAGGTTAAGTGATCTGGATAGTGTTTCCAAAGAGAAGAACTCCTGGATCTCCTCTGTAATTTTGTCACTAACCACAGAGAAGCCGTCAGGACCAGGTGCCTTATCTGGGTGAATAGAGAACATAGCTTTGGTGTGAGATCAGCCGGTCATTTTTCTCTGGTGTTAAGCATGGTGTGAGTGCATGTTCGTTAATTTCATCACAATTAGTAGATGAAAAGATCCAGGAAGTATTCGGTTATAACATGAGCTATTTCATCTTCTTCATACATTGGTAAGCCATCTTTATTCTCAATATCATAAAATTGTTAATGACGATGTGTCGGCGTGTAACAGCGTGAAAGTATCCAGAGTTTTTTTCCCAATACTAAGTTAAAGAACTCTGCTTCTTTGTTTCTAGAACTCGTTTTTTTCCTTGTAGGCATTTCTCAGGTTGCATTTTATTTCCTTAAGGAGGGCCTCATCGTGGTTTGGTGAGCTCATTGCTACCTCTAGTCTTTCTTTTTATGCGTTGATGATCTTCTGAGAATTGAAGTAATAATTTCTATCTCCTCTTGAAATGGCAGAGCGACATTTGGATATCTTGTTTTCCACTGAGTCAGGAGGGTCATCCCTCCAGCAGGATTCCACCAGTTTGCTAATCTCTGTGTTGTTCCTCTGTCTGCGATCGTACCTGAAGAGGCCCCTTTTCTTTTATGTTGTTGCTTCGAGGTGTGTGATATCTGCAGCTTCTAGAAGAGAAGAGCTCGGCCCAAGAGCTGTTAGACATGGCACGATATAATCTGCAGTTCACAAGATGGGTGTAACGGACTCCACACTAGGAGAAATAGTTGCCCTGAGTGTTGAAGGTCACAGAGATCATTCTAGGAGAGAAAAGCTCTAAAGTCTCCAAAGGATCCTTCTGCACGCATTGCTCTTCCGGATTTCTCCGAGTTGTCTATGATGTCATTAAAATCTTTGGTGAGGAACCTGGGAAATCACGATTAGCAGCCATCATGTACAGGGAATCTCATCTCTTTCGTCTTTTTGATTGTTCGGGAGCCCCATAGATGAAAGTCGCAAAGAAGCTTTTACTTTCGTAGTTGACAGTTGAGTCGATGTAGTTGGTGCAAGATAAGGAGACTTAGAGGTCAATGTCTTTTTTTCGAGAAAGATAAGGTGCACCTCCACCCAGAACTGCGACTTATATTTTAGGAAATGTAAAGTTTTCTTTATAAAGGTGTTATTGTTTTTGTTTCAGTGAAGAAAATTATGCCTGGAGCTAACTTCTGTACAGCTAATCTAAATTACTAGTTTTATTATTTATAATAAAATTTTTGTATAAAATTTAAAAAGTTTTAATTTAATAATTTAATGATAATATATAATAATTGAGTAAAAAAGTTTGTATAATGATTGGATTATCAAATTATAAATAAAAAGTTTTATTTTAAGATAAAGTAATGAATAGTGTCATGCCAAATATAAATCAATACTACTCATAATTTTAGTTTAGAGTAGAAAATAGAAGGGCTGAAGAGAATTTTAAGCTAAAATGATATTTAAAGTGGAAAATAGCGCATAATTTTGTGAATTCATGGTAAAAACCTTTGTGTGTGTTGTGTTTTATGTCTTCAGTTCATTAAAGAGAGATCACATTTCAGATTAATAATTGTGTCAGATCAATCTAAAGTCGAGTATTTAGCATAACAATTGGGTCTGTGACGAACCGGCTATCACGATTTGTGAGACCCTGTTCCCGTCTTTTATCTGGATTGCCTATAAACTCTGATCGTCTTAACCACTCTTTCCAGTGAATCCAACGCTTTCTCTCTAGGTCCGTGGACTCAATATTCTCTTTTCTAAGCCCGTTGGCCCACTATTGTTCGACGGTTGGTGTGTGAGTCCGGGAGGCTCGTAAAACTGTTTACTATCCCTGTAATCACCACATGATCTTTCCCCGTGATTTGTTCTCACTCACACGGTACCACAGATAACTTCTCAGTAGGTCACCCATCATGAAATTGCTCCAGCTTAAATACTCTTAACTTTGGAGTTCTCTCAGACCAGTGCCCAAAAAAATAAGTGCACTTTGATGACATAGGTAACAAAATCAATTCTTATAAACCTTTCCACATATACTAGAAATCAGGATGTTACAATTCTCCCCGACTTCCAAGGAATTCGTCCTCAAATTCTCTCTAACTTAACTACATCCCAAGACGTCATCCGGGTCAGACCCCGATCCCGCCTTCCCTTCCGGGAACTAGATAGACCGACTATCACGACCTGTGAGACCCCGATCCCGCCTTTCATCTGGACCGGCTATCAACTCTGAATGCCCAAACCGTCCTTTCCAGTGAGTCCAACGCTCTCTCTCTAGGCCAGTAGGCCCAACGTCTTCTCTCTATACCCGTTGCCCCAACGTCCTCTTTCCTTTTCTCCATCAGTGCTGCTTTCTCAACAAGGTCAATAACTGATGCATATTCCACCACCTGATAATGGTTACGGATGTCCACCCGTAATCCCTCCATGAATTTCTTAACAAGACGACGCTCAAACATGTCCCTTCCAGCAAATCTTTTCAGGCGGTTGAACTCCTGAGCATAATTCCTAACTGTGCGATTTCACTGCTCCAACTTCAGGAATTCTAACACAAGTCGGTCTTTAGTCTCCTGCAGAAAATATTTCCGTTTGAACTCGTGTGTGAAATCATCCCACTGCATCACATACCCCCTTGGCAGGCCTGAGATCACTTCTTCCCACCATTCGTAAGCCTCATCTCTTAAGTACTCAACTGCCAACTCAACCTTATACCCGACAGGACACCTGATCATCCCCGAATTGACGCTCTAACAGCTTCCTCTAATGGTCAGCCCTCACAAATTCAATCCCACCACTGTAAGTCTCCATGTCGAACTCCCTCATAAGCCTCAGCATCTTATGGTAGGTAGGCATCTGCGGTTGGTACTCATTCACTGCTGGTGGCATATGTGGGTGGTATCCATTCAATGGCAGTGGCACCTGCATCAGAGGTGGAGCTGGCAAATCTGGTGCAACATTTCTCTGCACTAGTGGCTGATCTGCGACCACACCTGAAACCGCTCCCAGAGCTACACCGGCCGCTTGAATCTGCCCCAACAATGGTCTAAGCATTTGTTGGAGTCCCTACAACACGACCACGCCTACAGCTGCACCTATGGCCGCAGTATCCAGTGCCTGAACCACCCTTACTGCTGGTTGACCATTTGCAGCAACATTCTCCTGCCCGATGACGGGTACTTCTTCCCGTGGTTCAGCTGCATTTCAGTTATGATTTCCATTTTTGTTGCGACGAGTTCTCGACATCCTGAAAAATAAAACGCTCGAGTTAGATCTTTAACTTAGAGAATCAAAGAAGATTGACTCGGGCCATGGTTCTTGCTTCCCTAACCCCAATAAGAAAATATAATTTTTTTTTTTTTTTGTAAAACTGATTCAAAATTTGAACAAGTCCCAAAACGTCTCCCGGGTCAGAACCTAGCTCTGATACCAAATTGTGAGACCCCGATCCCGCTTTCCTTCCGGTAATCAGACGGACGGCTTTTACGACCTGTGAGACCCCAATCCCGCTTTTCATCTAGACCGGCTATCAACTCTGAACGCTCCAACCGTCCTTTTTAGTGAGTCCAACGCCCTCTCTCTAGGCTCGTGGCTCAACATCCTCTTTTCTAGGTCTGTTGGCCCACCACTGTCCGACGATCGGTGTGTTAGTCCGGGAGACTCGTAAGTTTTGTTTACTATCCCTACAATTACTACATAATATTTTTTCGTGCTTTGTCTTCACGATACCGTGGACCACTTTCCGATAGGTCACCTATCATGAAATTGCTTCAGCTTAAGCACTATTAAGTTTAGAATTCTTTCAACACCAATGTCCGAAAACATAAATACACTTTAATAACATAGATAACCAAATCAATTTTTTTAAGTCTTTCTATATATATTAAAAATCGGGATGTTACAATACAAGTTGGTAAAAACAAACTCGAGTGTTTTTCACATACTTTGTTTGTCTTTTGCAACAGTTGCCCGACAAGCCAATGCCCAAAGCACACGGTGGTGAAGAAGATTCCGAGATTAAAAATAAAAATGCACCAAATAATGCTAAGCACTATCCATGGAGTCATTTTGACAATAACTCCGATCCAACCCGACCAACCCGAAATCCAACCGAACCGAATAAACCGAATATGTAAGCCTTTAAAAAAAAATCGGTAGATGAAGTCATCAATGTCGTGAGAGCCCTTTTTCACCTATTCTGCAACCGTGATCCGTCGCGCTTACCGAAACTGCACGATATAGTTTCCACCGCTCGCCGTCCTAGAATTACCGCCGGCGACTCTTTCACCTTTTGGGGAACAAAATACTCCTATGGAGTTCGAAGGATTTCCTCCTCAAATCGCCGACCAGCTCCACTACTTACTCAATCACTCTCCTGATTCCATCAAGGTAAACACCATCAGAAATTTCACGAGATTCAAGTTTCGATCCTCTCTTAACGCTTATCTACGGCCTTGTTCATCTCTTTGAATTCAGAAAATTAGGGTTTATAAAGCGTGATAGACTGATTTTTTTTCCAATAACGATTTGTAGATCGAAAGTGTCTGCTCCGGTAACAAATTTAATCCGAAGATCCTCGATAGGTTTACTTTGGTGATACCTTACTGTCTGGAAACGATCAAATGTAAGTGTTTCCTTCTCAATTACATGTTGCTGGTAATTACGAAACGTTTTTGCCTTGGCAGATCTTGAGTTTCTTGTTCGTGTCGTGGCAGGGGATGTTATATACAATTCAGAATATGCAGCTACTCCTCCGGATTTCATATTTGGGCCAGATGATGAAGGTTTTATGCCATGTAGCAGCACTATTGCACCTGATGATGGTCAGACATCATTACTAGAGAAGGCTTTGTCTGAGTGGAACAACGAGGACTCGACGAGGTTACTTGTTCTCATCCAAGGGTTGAGGTTGTTTCCTATAAATCTTCATCGCCATTGTTTGTTTATTTTATATGTTTACCCATGATTCGATGACCTGTAGAACTCTCGTGATTTGTGCCTCTCAGTTATTGCAGCCTGGCCAATTGGACTCTCTTCAAACTTCTGAACACTCTCCGCATCACTGAACTTTCAAGCTACTTACTTAGGTCACCAACAGGTCATGTTCTCAAGAAATGAAATATCAGTGTGAATGATCAGAAGCCGCAGATGATATTAGCTTCGGATGGGCATCTTTCGCAGCATATTAATTTAGAAAGGCCAGCTGATACGGAAAGAAAGTTCAGAAGTTTACTGAGGAGAATCCAATTGGCGAGACTGTTATCACTGAGACGCACAAAACTTGAGAGTTCTACTCTACTCTAAGGTCATCGAATCATGGAATAATATCATTCAAGGATTGAGGTTGGTTTCAGTTTTGTGCCCGGCTCATTTGATGTTTTTTTTTTTTGTGATCAATTTACCGTTTAGGGATCGATATGTGGCCTACCAAAGAAGCCGTGTGGGTCAAGTTGATGATGATCGCGTGAAGTTTGAGATTAGCACCGTTTTAACTCGCAAGGTATTACGCAGGTCATTTTGATATACATTATGAATCATAATCTTTTTTTTTTCTTGTTTTGGAGCTACATTTTACACCTTCATAGTGATGGAAACTAGCAATTGTTAGGTGTTATAATGTTTGAGTACCTAAGGTTTCTTCGTGCATAAAGATTTTGTTTTTGTGGCATGTGAAATGTTATGCCTAGCCCGATGAAGTCACTAATGTTGAAAAGTAATTTTGTTTTTGGTTCCCTAGGAACAAATCTAACCATCTTTTTAGTCAGAGCGTCTTATCAATCTTAATGTTTATGTTCTTCTTGTTTCCACATTCTTAGGGTATTGAAATGCAAATGACGTCAGGAGTTGACAAGGTATTTCTTGCTGTCAAGTTTCTTGATCATTTCGCTGTGAAGTCAGCGCATTGTATGCATTTGACTTCTAGTACCTTTAACTTTTAGTGTAGCCAGAGGAGGTCAAGTTTGCAGTACCTCTTGTGATGGATATGAGCATTAACAAACTTGTGGTTGGGTGCCCTTGGAAGCATGAGCAGAAGATTTATCTTCAGGTTTTCTCTTAGTTCCATATAAGTATCTCTATCTGATTCTTCACTCTTTTATGATTGCTTAAACTGGTTACGAATGCAGGTAGTATACCCGATTCTTCGAAAAATTGAATCAGCACCTTCGGCACCTCGTCTGAGATTAGTATCATCTTCTGATTTAAGATCGCTATTTTCTGTTGAGGATGTTAAACTTCCTCCATGGATTGACGGGATGTAAGTTACATGTGCAAGCACAATTCAGTCTACCTACATACCATGCATGTATTAATCGCTATATTGAAAATCACGTAATTTTCTATTTCAAAGGTGCTTGGCTGAATATCTTCCCCATCTCGAAGAAACCCTTGAGAGACAAGTTAGTCCAACTAAAATTTACTTACACACGCAAAAGTGTATTTAATTTGTGGGTACGTGGGCCTTATCAAGCTTACTTTCTAGATCCTGGAAGCTGTTTCTGAAATTTTCTTAAGGAGGAGTTTTGTTGAGGCATTGACTCCTTTTCTTGGAAGACCTCTTGAAGCTGATCCTGTAAGCATTTGTTGGCATGACTTGGCATATGTTTAGAAAGATCTCCGAGTTTCTCAAGTATGGATATTTTGTTTTTCTTGCTAGACATTTTGCACTAAGGCTTCGTTCCTTGCTGCCTCGGGACCATTTACTTTCGTGGTAATTCTATAACTCTTGAGGCCTTCATTACAAATTAGTATACCGAAGCTGTGCCAGAGTGGGTTTTGATTCTTGTCATCTCGAGATATCTCAGTTGACAGTCAATATGTACCGGATTAATGGGTTTTTGGCTTTTGATGTAGGTTCACTTCTTCTTTTCAAACCAATTTCCAAAGCAACAACCAACTCTAATGCTCCAGAGTTGTCAGGTATCAAAACTATCCGTAAATGAACCAAACAAAAGGCTTTTGGTTTCCTTTGTTTAGGTGTAAGGAATTGATTAACTTTTGATACGCAGCATCTAAACCAATTTAGTGTGCCGGTAAAATCAAGTCTTCTTACCGAGTACCCTTGGAGTCCAAGATGGGAAGTGGGGCGCATGGCTGAGCGACTTTGGTGAGTACTTTTGAACTCTTTCTTACATGTCTCGCCAACTATTTCTCCTTTTCAACATTCAAAATTTTCCTTTTACAGTGACTTCCTGACCGACGAGGCTATGAACTTCAAAAAATATTGTAACGAAGCTATGCTCTGAATGTCTATTGATAAAGTGCGACTAACTCCTACTGATATGTTAACTCAAATGGAGTACTTTTCTGCTTGACTTCAAGGATTGAAAGCGTTTCTTCTCAATTTCAACAAGTTGTTGCTTGACTTTAGCATTCATTAGCTCTGCTTTCTTTTGTGAGTCATAAGAGTTTCGAATTTTACAGGCGTCAGTTGCATATTTAGATAGTGAGTGAAGAGAATGAAGAAGGGGTTAGGGTTTGGATGAGTTTGAAGTAATGAAGTTCTCTAGAATTAAAGTCATTGGTTTACTGTTGCTTTTGTGTATGTATTCATCGATTACTGACAATAATGAAGACAACTCCAAAGAGCTCTTAGCCTTAGGTGGAATAGACTATTTAGATGATTTAACGTTTTGTAGTCAATGAGGGTAACAAAACTAGATTCTTTAATTGCAGTCTCTGTTATCTTTTCAGGTTTTGTTAATAATTATGTATTGACTTAAGAATTTCAAACTGTCTTAAATCTTAGGATTACCTTTTGTTTTTCCTTGCAATTTTACCTTAATTTTTCTGAACTTGTAGTGAATGTACACAATGTTGATTCTGACTTCGTCTGTGTCCTTCCATTTGAAGACACGTTTAGAAGTAGTCTTATGCAGATCCTCCCTACTTCAGGCCAATTATTCTGTGATTCTGACCTTAAAGTATAACCCCCATGATTTGTGAAACTTAGTTATGGCAATTAGTTTTGCCCAAATTGGACGTTTTCCGAATCTGCCAACTTTTCAAAGTACTACTACTTTAGCTCACCATCAGATCTTGTTTTCAAGAAATGAAACATCGTTGTGCGTGAAATTTCAAGAAATGTTTTTTTAAAACTTATTTACTAAGAAAATGTTCTTTTAATTTTTTTTTTGTATTTTATTTTGCCCTTCATTCTTTTTGTTTGTAATGTAATCTCTTTTCTTTTTATTTTCATTCTTTGCTATTTTAATCCTTAACGAGTCACTAACTAGTCTTCTTCTTTTCTTTTTCTTTCGTACGTTTACAGCCTTAACTGTTTTTATTAGGTTTTTATTACAACCTGTTTTTTTTCATAGAAACCTTTTGATTTATCCCATCTATTAAATTAAAACACAAACACTTTTAGTGTTTGCTTCCAAACATTCCAAAGTTTTTAAAAAATTAAAAACTTTGAATTTTTTAAAAAATTATCCAAATTTATCACAATATTATTTAAAAATATAATCGTTTTATATATACATTAATTCGAAAATTAAGATATTAATTTAGATATTTTTAGATTTCTTTGAATATATGTTATATTTAATTTAAATTTTAAATTATTCAAAATTTTAATAATTAAATTAATTTACGAAAATTTGGATTTCATTTAATTTAAAATTCAAAAAATTCAAAAAAGTTATAACTAAATTTTATTACGAAAATTTAGATAATAATTTTAATTACTTTAGTATTCTTTAAATACATATCAGATTAAATTTAATTTTGAATTAAATAATATTTTTATAATAGTGCGAATGCTAAACGAATATTGTATTGTATTTTATGATAATCAATGGGTCTAAAATATTAAATATTTAAAATTAATAAATATTTATATTATACAATAATATTATTTTATGATAATCAATGGGTCTAAAATATCAAATATTTAAAATTAATAAATATTTATATTATACAATAATATGATGGAGTTGATTAGGGTTATGTATTTATACTTAAGGTCGTATACGGGTTAGTTTGTTAAAACATGTAAGATTTTAAGATATTTTGAGATAATTAAATGAACAGGTTAGCCAATTTATAGATATATTTTTTTTATAATAGCACAAATGATAAATGAATATCATATTATATTATATTATAATCAATCGGTCTAAAATATCAAATATTTAATATTAATAAATAATTATATTATACAATAATATGTTAGAGCAAGTTAGGGTTATGCATTTATAATTATAATTTTATACAGATTAGTTTTTCAAAACATGTAAGATATTAAAAAATAATTTAAAATCACTAAATGGATGTGTTAACCAATATATATATATATTTATATATTATGTGTAAATCTAAATTCACATAATAAGAAAGTTCATAATTAACATTAGATCGATATATTCTTAATTAACTTATACTCTTATTCTACTAATATACAAATAACAAATTTTTTGATTTTAAAAAATAAATAAATAACAAATATAAATTATATCTAAATAAAAAATATATACAAATTATATTAAAGATAAAAAGCAAAAAATTCCCATGCAGTTTTATTATAAAACTATTTTCACAAACCTGAATTTTAAAAACAAATAAAAAAAAACTCAAAGGTTAAAAAAGAGTATACAACAGATGGTGTTTAGCTCAAGACTCTCTCGCGATGAACAAAGAGTTTGATCTAGCCAACCACAATGGAATAAAATTTAGGAGAGATTTTGTCTTTGTCACTCATCATATCTTTTTTGAAATTTTCCAAAAGTAAACGCACTAGATGACCATGATATTGTACCATATTTGCAAGAATATCTATCACACTATTTCGACACTGTTAACATTCTAATAAGGCAACTTTACCCCTATGCTCCCTATTTGCTAGCAAGCACAGCTGATCTTGATAAGATATTGGCGTCAGAGAGAAACAATAATATATTCCACAATAATTTGAAATTCAAATTTCTTTTTAATATTTAATAATGAGTAATAAGTCTCATCGATCAAAATAAATGTCGAACACTGTTAAACAATATTTTTATTAGGGTAATTTATTAGTTAGACTGAACCCAGAAGCTTCTTTCTCTTGTTTTCACCGCCGTTCATCCCTGGAATCGAGTATCATCCAATTTTACAGTCAGTGGTCGCCGATTTCTTTAAGTAAGTTTTTCGTTACACCACTTCTCGATTTTGGACATGAATTTTTGCTTTTGATATATGACTATTTGTTTTCGTCTGAAATGTAATAAAAGGATGCCTAACATTCAATTGCCTGAGAGAATTTTTGCTGCCGGCCAAGAGCCCGTCGGAGAGAGGGTGAATTCTTACCAAAAATGAAAATCGGTACAGGCTATTATGAATGCTCTCGACGAAGATGAAGCAAAGAGGCTTCGTGATTCCCAACTTGGACGGCTCCTAGAGACGATGGAGAAGCCTTCATTTTCCGGGAGCTTTGGCTATTACATGCTCGCTCGGCTGTTGCGTGTGAAGAAGAAGCATGAATTATGGTTTCTGTTTGCTGGTCGCCCAGTGAGATTTTCTCTCAGAGAGTTTGCTCTAGTTACAGGGCTCGAGTGTGGGAAATTTGCTCAGACGAGAAAGATTAAAAATCTTGTGGCCCAAAAACCGTACTGGCCTGAGCTCTTTGGGTTGCTTAAGTCATGCAATGTTGATTCCGTCATCCACATGTTACAGAAAAGAAAAATTTCAGACAAAGAGAAGAGATTCAAATGCGCCAGCCTCGCTGTAACTGCCTCTGTTTTGGTTCCTACCTCGCATGTTACCAAGATTGTCCCCGAGCATGTCGAGCTCATAAGGGACATAGATTCATTTCTTTCATATCCTTGGGGTAGAGTTGGGTTTGATTTGCTCGTATCTAGCATCAAATCGAAAGATGAATTGGAACTCTCGCAGAAGACAATCGCCGTAAAGGATTTTTTTATGCCATCCAGCTTGTAATGATGGCTGCGGTGCCGACGCTTACCGAGGTAGTTCAAGCTCCATCCGGTGAGTCTGATAGTGACTACGAGGATGAATGTGACACCGCCGCCGATGTATCCACCGGACAAGAGGCCAATCTCGGCTGCGATGCCTCTGATCTGGCTGAAAGAGCCACATCTTCCGGCGTTGTGAAAATGATGCTTAGTCCCAGCCATGCACGAGAAATCGACGAGGAGGAGAAGATAAATTACCTGACTTCTTGATACTGTTTACAATTATAGTTAACGGTTACATAATCTGAGCGTTGACAAATTAATAAGTAACCTTGGAAATATTTGTCACTCAGTTTAATATCAGTTACATTTTGTTGTTCAACGATACAATTTCCTGTAACCTATAACTTTCCCATTTCAGGCATTGGTTTATTCCATTATCCGTACGGACGGGGTCTGTGCTATCGAAGGGATGGACTTACGTTGGGCTGACGAAGTTGGTGATGAGTCCGTAGATGTTATGGTCAAGCTTATCGGCGAAGGTTATCGTTTTTCAGGTGATATGTTCACGGGTGGTCTTACAACTGCTGACTTGGTCCGTATGCGAACTGATAAGGCTCTGAAAGAGAAAGAAGCTAAAGACAAGAAGAAAAAAGACAAAACCGGCGACAGTTCATCCTCATTTGCTACGGTTGATCAGGAGGGGATCGCTGAGCTGGTGCTTGATAAATTGAAGCCTGAGTTGCAGTCCTTCAGTAATAGGTTACGGGCCAAGGACCCTTCACCCTTTAGTTGTGCCTTCCCTGCCAGTAATGTGTCACAATCTCACCTGACTCCTCCAGGAGCAAACACCACATCCCAAGACTTACCGACCCAGCTTGCTGAGGTTAGCTTTTCACCACCCATGTAAAAATATAGTTGTCTACATATACTTGTAACATAGTTACAATATATATTAACGAACACAATTAGATATAGAGAAGTATTATTATTTGTACATGTTTACAACACAGTATATCACCGAGTCTATTATTGTTTGTATTTGATGACGTCCCTCTCTAATGTCCCTCTACCAGCTCGCACCCCAACATCAATCTTGCACCATTGGGGGAAGCACGGAAGCGGTATAAGCCAATCTTTAGTATTTGTTCTGTTGTTACATACGAATCACTAATTTCCATATATTGAATGTAGATGGATTTACTGTTGTCCGTGTCACCATCCTTTTCTCTCGGTTTAACGCAAGACGAACAATTTGTGGCCTAGAAGCCCGATTACATAAATGACAACGTCTCCGACAATGATGAAGTTCTACCACGCAAAAGCAAATGAGTCAAGACCTCATCTGTTGTTTACAAGGATTATCAATGCGCTTTCAACCGTCCAGCAGCTGCTAAGTGCACATTTACAATGCCATGCGACCCCAATGTCAATTATAGTGCTCGGTTTGTGGAGCTCAAAGCCAAGCTCACGCACGACAAGTAATACATACAGCAAATTATCTTTATAATAAACGTTTTACCCGATATATTTATTATTATCCGTCAAATTTCGTGTTAACGTAATAAATTATATTTTAGACGTCCAATGGAGATTTACGAGGGTGCATCTGTTGGTACCGAAGATGTTCTTGCTATCGGCGACCGCATTCGTGTGCTTGATTCTAAGGTAACACTCTGGAGACCTAATCCCTCATATTTAAATTTGTTTTCTTCAGTTTACAACACTTTGTTAACATATAGTCATTAATTATTTTCTAGATTGTGGACGCCT